ATGAGAATCTGTAATAGTATTGTCACAGTATATCTTTGAGGCAGGTTTTCTCATCTGTCTGAAGATGGAATATATAGCTCATTTTTTCTATGCAATGTGCAAATTGACAGTGTCTCCTTCAACACTATTACAATAAAAACAATGGATTTTGTAGTACAGGTATACAAAGAACAAGTTATTTGAAGATAAAATTTATTTACATTGCTTCAGCATACACTTAATTTCATGGGGTTTTGGATGACCTTCCATCACCCCCACTTGCGTCATAAGCACTTGGGCGGTATTCACAATTGTGGCAAAAAAAGGGAAAATTGTTTGATGTGGCACTTCTGCCATCATTATTATGGCAAATCATCTGCTTACTGATATCAATAAGCTTGGGAGTCATATTTGTTAGCAGCAACCTGCATGTTTAAGTTGAGGGCAATCCCAGGATATTTATAACCAACCTATAGTTCACACGAAGTTCATCTTTCATGTGAATGTCCCTATGCTAACTTTCCTTTTTTCTGCCTGAACTGCAAAAATTTCATTGTGATCTGTGAGCTATAAGCTAATACCATAGTTGAGGGGTGGAGCAAGAATACAGCATTGCTATGCAGATTATCTTAAAGCCATTTCTAGCCAGGGGGGTTGATGTATATGGCGGTGTGCTGATAAGACGAGACAAGGAGTGGGTGAGCAGCTTGAAATGTCCTTTAAAAAACTTGCATGCTTCAGCTGTCAAGGCTTGCTACCGTTCCCCATTACATTGGTTATTTCCCATATTAGTCCCATATAGACTGTACAATGAAAAATTATTGTTGGGACTTCAACAGGACCTTACAAAGCAAGGCAACATTGATAAGTGTCAGTCTGTGAAATCAGCATCCCTAGGATCATGGAAAGACAAGACCTCTGATTGAAGCAATGTAGCGAGAGCTGTGGTCAAGATCAGAGGAGGTTTGCCTTACAGTTCAGGTTCATTTCCCAGTCAAAATATAGTGAAACTGAACCTGGTTTTCTAGGGTAAGGCAGGCAGTCCCCTCTATCAATCTTGTATGGAGTGCAAATACTCCTTACATTGCTCACTCAAGGTATGTAGGGCAACTGAGCTTCACAAACTTGTGCAAGAAAGGTTGGGAAGGACGCAGCCCAAATTAACCGTAAAAAAAGACAAGTCAACACTTGGGCTATAACCTTAATTCTATTAGTATAAAACTTTACCATTGGATTATTCTTCTAAGAAAGTTTGATATGAATATAATATTGGTAGCTGTGATATTTTTTCTTTTAATCTACACTAGGAACCCTTCACCACATTAAAAGATTGAAAAACAAGAGCCTTGCCGCTGAGTGTCTAACTACTCATTGTAAAACTAACAAATATGGCCACTATAAGACAAAAACTAAAAACAACATTGCATGCTAGATGTATATCACAAAAGACACCATACTATGAACATAAAAAAATGAACATGTACATTTCCTGATATAAGTAAAAATTCATGTCTACTGGAGCAATAAACGTAATAATAAAATAATAATGATAATAACGGAGCAATCACCAAGCGTGTGGTAAACTCTTGGTGTTTACTCAACCTTAACATATAACATGAACCTTAACCTAATGCCACAACTTATCAGTGGCATGAGAGCTGCCAAAGTGACCTCTAACGACCTGGGTCACGACCTTTGACCAGTTTAATGACCCAGGGAGGAGCTGAACGGCCACTAAACAGCTGCAGACAAAGGCACTTGGGACGTCCAATAAATCACTTGAGCAGACTGCGGATGGATGTGGGGGATTAGAAATACTGATGACGTGACCAGAGGGCTATGGGGGATACAGAGAGGACATGGTATATTTTCAGTACAAAAATTTATCCCATTTCCATTTGGGAGACCATCCCTTTAGCAACAACTGGCACAATCGCAAGGCAGAGGTGCCTGCGCAATAGATACAGAGACCACCCACATCACATTAATAATAGGGATTGGTGAACTATGAAGAATGCTAGTTTAAGGACTGATTGACCTAGTTTAAACCATGGTCATTGTTTTAAGTACATGAACGGTGTGGTTAACTAAGGCTGGAAAACTCGACTGGCTAACACCTTAGTTCCTGCTCCAACTAACCAACCACATACTGCCATTTGCACAAGGCACAATATTTCTTTAAGGCACCAAAAATACTTATCAAGAATATAACAATCAATGCACTGAATTTCAGAGAACAAGAATCAAAAGACTTTTTTTTCTTAAAAGACTCAAAGCACAAACTTATTTCTCAGTAGCAACACAATTTCTACTAACATCTTACTATGTTTAGTGAGATGTCTATAACTTCATTAACAACATATGTGTTGCAACAGAGATCTCATGTACTTCTATAGGCAAGGTCATATCAATCACTGGGAGGGGAGAAGTGATAAGAGCAATACGTTTGTTTGCGTTTGTCACAACATATAACCATCAAATCCATACTTTTCAGGGTTGGCTCTGTCAACATATTAAAATTATGTCTACTGGAGCAATAAACGTAATAATAAAATAATAATGATAATAACGGAGCAATCACCAAGCGTGTGGTAAACTCTTGGTGTTTACTCAACCTTAACATATAACATGAACCTTAACCTAATGCCACAACTTATCAGTGGCATGAGAGCTGCCAAAGTGACCTCTAACGACCTGGGTCACGACCTTTGACCAGTTTAATGACCCAGGGAGGAGCTGAACGGCCACTAAACAGCTGCAGACAAAGGCACTTGGGACGTCCAATAAATCACTTGAGCAGACTGCGGATGGATGTGGGGGATTAGAAATACTGATGACGTGACCAGAGGGCTATGGGGGATACAGAGAGGACATGGTATATTTTCAGTACAAAAATTTATCCCATTTCCATTTGGGAGACCATCCCTTTAGCAACAACTGGCACAATCGCAAGGCAGAGGTGCCTGCGCAATAGATACAGAGACCACCCACATCACATTAATAATAGGGATTGGTGAACTATGAAGAATGCTAGTTTAAGGACTGATTGACCTAGTTTAAACCATGGTCATTGTTTTAAGTACATGAACGGTGTGGTTAACTAAGGCTGGAAAACTCGACTGGCTAACACCTTAGTTCCTGCTCCAACTAACCAACCACATACTGCCATTTGCACAAGGCACAATATTTCTTTAAGGCACCAAAAATACTTATCAAGAATATAACAATCAATGCACTGAATTTCAGAGAACAAGAATCAAAAGACTTTTTTTTCTTAAAAGACTCAAAGCACAAACTTATTTCTCAGTAGCAACACAATTTCTACTAACATCTTACTATGTTTAGTGAGATGTCTATAACTTCATTAACAACATATGTGTTGCAACAGAGATCTCATGTACTTCTATAGGCAAGGTCATATCAATCACTGGGAGGGGAGAAGTGATAAGAGCAATACGTTTGTTTGCGTTTGTCACAACATATAACCATCAAATCCATACTTTTCAGGGTTGGCTCTGTCAACATATTAAAATATCAACCCAGTAAAGATAACATATGTGGCTATACATGGTCACAAGCCTTTGCTTTACATATTCACACTACAGGAACTAGGGTAGCCACAGATGTAAGGAGCATAACAGCCAAAAGAAAAACAAAACTAAAACAATGAAACAAAAAAAAGAATAATTATTACACAGCAACAAAACAAAATGCAAACAACAGACTGCTCCATGGTCTCGAAAATTAAAAAGGAGCACTGAGTGCATTGTAAACAATGATCATCATATTCCCATTCATTTTGGGACCAACATTTTTGTTTCTATTGGTTAAACAGCTGCCTCTGTCATCTAAAAATATTTAATGCCTTTTTTTAACTATTTATTTATATTATCTATTATATTAAGATAGTGAGTAATTCTTAAAGAAGAACATAACCTCATACACTATTTACATGAATATCACCTATCATTAATAAATATAGTTATTCTGTAACAAGAGTAATTCCGGCAATATTCCATTGATCAAGGCAGAATTGGACGGTAAGATTGGTAGTGAATCACTTGCTATATATATGGAGAGGACAGAGGCATGAGATAGACCTCCAAGTACATTAAAAAGAGTCCTAAATGCACGTCATGAATCCACAAAAAGGTATTCACAAAATGGAACTTAAACCTACGATTCGGGAGGTTTCCACCATTGAGAACTCTCCACTGAAACAGAGTATAACTTGGTAGTCGAGAGGCACTGAACCATCACATACAGAATGGGGATCATTGCCTAAGACTCTCACAAAACAGTCTATCTCTGAAGCTTCCCCCTATCACTGTTCTGTGGATTTCGTCACACACACACACGCAGCTTTCCCCATAGTGTCGGAACTATGCGGGAAACCCACACAGCCTGGTTTTTTGTGGCGAATATTCCCTCACAGGTATTCATGAGCAATTGGGGTGCAGAACACAGCCCAATTTTTGGTACTTCCTGCATCCATCACAAATTCACATGCACACTCTTACATTAAGGCTGCCTTTTCATTGTACCATTACTCACTGAACATTCATGTTTCTAATATTTTCTACCTACATGATTTCAGCACTTCAACATCCTTGCACAACACTGACCCACACACCTGTGAGGTACTGAAAATATTAAATTTTGGAATTTGTAACCTGGCCATTTCTCTTGTATTACTTCCCATACAAGCCTTTTATATACAAAAGCCCAATTGGGGTATACTTTTTTTTCTTTCTATCAACACTAAGATACCTTTTAGCCTATTCCAGCTTTAAGAGGTACATTCTATGCCACCAGGAAACAAAGAAACCAACTGACTATATTTAATTAATGCTAATTGTCCCCAGGCATCAGTCTTTTCACCACTAATGAAGCATGAGCTACTTTTACGTATTTTTATATATTATGTTTCTTAATTTACAGCCACGTATGGAGATTATCTATTTTGGAGGGCTCCAACATGTCGTTTAAGAAATCCGTGGACAGGTCATCATTAAGCTGTAAAGATAAAAGTCAAAATTAGGCATTCAGTAATGAAAAAAATTATATGATTTGCATGCATTAAATAAATTTCATAAGAAGAATATTCACTATTTCATATATATATCATTCCTTAGGCATAAAGTATTTCAACAACGTTCACATATCTTATTCATCACAGCAGTGCTTCATGACAAGTAAAACATAAAGAGCAAACAAACAAAACAAAAATGCCATTTTATATACAAATATCATGCATAATACGTAACAAAAACTAATAAACAAGAATATTACACATTCATAAACATATCCTTTAAAACTAAGAAAATATCACAGAAAAAAGAAGTCACAGGAGTCTTCAAACTCACACTCTTACTAAAGCAAAAACAAGACGTTATTTCCCTTACCTGTATTGACGGCACAAGGTCCTCAGAGTCCATGGATTCCAACTCAGGAGCCTCGAGGATATTGTTCGCTGGTGAGGTCTTCATCTCAACTGCAAATATGAAAGTGCATTGCAATAAATTTTGCAATAAACTTTTTGACATTCCTTACAAGTAGAATATAGTTTAAGGTTTAAACTTGTAATACAGTTTCAATGCAAGAAGATAAACTAATAGAATTCTTTTTAAAGCATTTCTTTACTTCTTGAGATTTATTCATTAATATTTCCCATTGTTGAAATCACTTTATATCTAATACTTATTTGAGTTGCACCAAGTTGCAAGGCCAATTCAAAAACATTAACATATTTATCCATTTAGCACAGACACACATATCTGACATTATGATTTATATTTATATATCTTAACTAATGATTCAAGCACAATAATCTCAACACAAAACATTCGAAATCATTAATGTTAGAAAGGCAGAGAAGTGGCATAAAAAACACCTGAAAAAAGAAACCTATTCTTGTGGTATACAAATATGTTAACATCATAACACTAAATGATACTAATATAAAAAAAAGACAAATAGCAAAAAAGAAAAAAAGAAAAAAGAAAAGTATATAAAATCATAATAATAAAAGTAATAAAAAAACGAGGAAAAAAATACTAACAAAAAGTAAGAGATGATAAAAAAATCAATAAAAAGGGAAAGAATGTAAAAATTATAATAATAAAAATAATAACAACAATAATAATAATAATGATGATGACGATAATAATAATCATCATCATAATAATAATAATAATAACAAAAACAACAACAATGATGATGAAGATGATTCTGGAGATGAAATTCAAGATGATGATTGTGATGATGATAATAATGATTGATGAAGATATTAATAAAATGATAATAAAAAATATATAAAAAAACCAATAACAATAACAACTGAAAATAATAATAAAGTAAAACAACAGCATAAATAAACATAATGACGCATCAGTGACCAAAATAAAATAAATAAATAAATGAACAAACTGCCATATTCACATTCAAATCACAAAAGTCAAAAGTCGCTTAAACAAGACACATCACAATGAAAATTTAGATCAGTACTGTAATAGAAACACCAGGGATGGTAATGATAATTTGACACAAAAGAGTAAGGAGTCAGTTTTCAAGAAGAGAAAGATTACTTTATCATTAGCTATTGCAAGTAATGACAGTCATGATTATTAATACACAGCTGTAATTTTAGTAATAACATTCCTCATGGTACTAATGTCCTTACAACTAACACTTTTATTATTATGAAAAAATCTAATAAAAGAAAAAAAAATAATCCTTGTCTGAATTTTTAAACACAAATCCTCATTTTATTGTTCCCTTAAACCTCCTGCCATGTGCAAAAAATATAGCAATAAAAATAATGAAAAAAAAAGATAAAGTGATGATAATAAAAACAGTGGAGATGAAAAAGATAAAAAAAATATATATATATATATTCACAGAAAAGAAACATGGAAAAAATATAAATAAATAAAAAAACTGCATCTTTAACAATAATAATCATCAAAATTTATAGATCTACTTATAAAATAAATGATCCTCTCAACCCTATCAGAGAGCATGCTTTTGTTACAAAATAATGTACAATTTACACAAACATAGCAAACACTACATTGTACATTGAAGTGAATACCAACTACACAGTATGATACGGGAAAATGCTAAACAGACAAGACACCAGAACCTATAACTATGACATTTACAAAATTTTAGGTGTAACTATGTCTAGATGACTGAGAAATCTTAAGCTACGTAAAACTACTGGTAAAAGTTTATCCACATGGCAAAATATCCTAAAATCAGTATAAAACCCCAGAAATATTCTTGCTTAATCTTTGTTAGTGTTATACATGATAATACCAATGGCTGCAAAGTTAATCAACCTGTGTTTGAATGTGAATCTGTATTTTCCTCAAACTGTCTGCATGGATGACATTCTAAAGTTCCTTGTTTTGAAGGGAGATACTCTACTCACTACTAATTTTGATATATATAAACTTGTATATTTTTTCATATGCTGTTAGGAATATGAGTGGTTAGAAACCTTAAAGCCAAACAATTTAATTCCTAAAAAATAATGAGTGTTTGACAAAAGTACCAGCTTTGCATTTTGCTAAAGTATGAGCCACCATAGAGGATAAGCAAATATTTACAGTTTTAGAAAGAAGTAGTATATATGTAACACATCTTGGTTTCATTGTTCATTTAGTTCTAAATGTCCATGCACATATATATGGAAGATTACCATGAAAAACTCTTAATTTCTCCTTGATTTTATTTTAACTTTTAACATAACACTCTAATTTTCATTATGAAAAGAAAGCATGCATAAAAATGGCACATCTTATAAAACTGGAAGACTAAATTAAGATCAATCATACTTCTAAATTGGTAAAGGATGTGTTAGCTTATTTCTAATCTATATAAATTTCATTAAGAAATCCCAAGCTAAAGGACACCATTCCTCTCTGTCACTAATCAGTTACCCCATGAAATTATTAACTACAGTAATAACTATAACATTAACATGTAAATAGGTAAAGATCATAGGAAATTAACTAATCAATAGTTCAATGAAAAGCCAGAGACTGGGGAAGAGTTTGCTCGAGTTAAGGCAGCAACACTACATCGGAGGAGGGATGAACCAAACTCTGCCAACCAACCATCAGGTGTGATCTCAACATCCTCCATTGATGCCAGGAAATCCTCGGGAGTATGAGGGAGGGAGTAATTGGTCCCCAGGCCTAGTCCACTATCTGCTGACTCCTGCCGCGTGTGGATGTCTGTGGTAGTGATGAAGGTGTCAGCAGCTGTGGTGACCACGCTGGTCACAGGAGTCACTGTCTGCGGGGCCGAGGGTAAAGTCAGGCCAGCAGAGGTCAGCACCAGCTCACTACCTTGCTGCTGTTGTTGTGAGGTTTGCTGTGTGGACTGCTGTTGGGCTACTGTTTGTGCTGTCTGCTGCTGCTGCTGCGGCTGTGGTTGTGGCTGTGGTTGTTGTGGTGGTTGTGGCTGTTGTTGTTGTGAAGGTTGTACCTGCTGCTGTCTTGCTTCTTCTTGCAGACTCATTTGCAATGACTGTTCCTGAAAAAAATAATAATTTATTGTGAATAGAAATAAAAGGTTTGATTTTTGATAAACATACCCAACAATCATTATCCATTTATATCATGTATCCATATATACTGCTCTCATTAAATAAGTGAAATTATTTTCATATGGGTAATTAAGGGCACAATCAGCTTTAAGTGTAAGAATCCTTTCCCTGCTAAAATGCTACTCATGCTGAACATGAGCAGGACATCAAGTCGATGGAGAGAGCAGTGAGTTAACAGCAGACCAATATTACCTCTACCTCCTCTACTAATCTTGGCATGTTGCCATGTAAACACTCACAAACCACCACACCCACTCTGTACCAAACAGTAATGCCTCTCCTTTTCCCTTTCCCCCTCCCTTTCCCTCTCTCTTTCTCTTCTCATTTTCTTCCTTTGCCCTCTCCCTCACCCTCTCCTTCTCCTTCCCTCCTCACTCACTCTCCAACTCTCTTTTCTCCCCTGCCTTGAACTCTCTCATGTACTCACCGACTTACTCACTGGCTCATTCTCTCCTCCTCCTCTCTCCCTATCCCTCTTCCTTCCTCTCCCTCTCCATCTTTCCCTTCATTTCTCTCTCCCCCTACCCCTTCCTCCTCCTATCCCTTCCCTCTCCTTTCCTCTCTCCCTCCCTCTAATCTTCTGCCTCTCCCCCCTCTCCCTTTCTCCTTTCTTTCTCTTTCTCCCCCTCCCTATCCCTTCCCTACCCCTATCACTCCCCCTCTCAATCGCTTTCTCTCTCTCTTTTTCTCTCTTCTCTTCTCTTTTCTCTTCTCTTCTCTCTCTCTCTCTCTCTCTCTCTTCTCTCTCTCTCTCTTCTCTCTTCTCTTCTCTTCTCTTCTCTTCTCTCTCTCTCTCTCTCTCTAACCCCTTTCCTCTTCCTCTCCTCACTTTCTTCCTCTCCCTCCCTTCCTCCCATCTTCTTCCCCTTCTCTCTCTCTCTGCTTCCAAGATATCAACAGCTTTATGAAAGAATATGATGCAGCAAGCAGGCATATTTTTTTCACAGCTGAAATGAATGACTTCCATGATGGTACTTATTACCACCTGATCTACATCTCTTTTCGCATATATGTCGACTGTCATACTTCTGCACCTTCTACTGAACCTTTGATTACGGAGCGAGGTTATTTCTTTCAAGTCTAAAATGTGCATTCCTGATCTGACATTAATATCCTTTTTTTAGGTCTCCTATTTCAACCTAGGTACTTATGATTTTTTTTTCTCATGCGCCTCTTAAAAATGGCATTATATTAAAAAGGGATGCAAAAGGGAGAGACAATGCCAAATATTCTTAGTACATAGAGCTAAATAATAACAGACATCAAAATACACAACCGTACCCGCCCAAGACCCAAGATAAGCAGATAAGCACACGTACTTTTTTGATAATCTCTTGCTGACGAAGCCTCAGTCTCTCGTGCTCAACCTGAAGGCGCTGTAGCCGTAGCGTCTGATGCCTGGAAAGAAGTGCTGCTGCCGAAGTGCTGACGGTGGAGGCAAGGGGAGGCAACTGGTGGCTCACTTGCGTTGGCTGTGTTGGTGCTGCACCGCTGGCACTCTGGGAGGTTGCTTGGGAGTGCTGTGGGGGCTGCACGCCGTTTAACGAAGCTGGCGTCTGCAGGCGTCGAGCTGTGGAAGATAACGAGGGTTTAGTATGGTTGCATCCAGGGTCGCACGCATCACTTCGTTGTTATTCTACTCAATAAAATTTGAGATTAATGATGAAAATTCGTGATAAAGACATTTCAGTCACATTAGTGATACTGATATTTGTTACCTATGTTATCTAAATATGTAGTAGTGGTTTTGATCATCACCAAATTATTACTGTTATTATCACCATCATCATCATCATAATGATGATGATAATAACAATAATAATAACAGCAATAAAAAACAGCAGTAATGTAAGCGATGGCGCAAAAATAATCTTTATAATAGTAATTACAGTATTAATACTAATACTAATACTAATAATAATAATACTTCTTATAACAATGATAATAAAAGCAACAAGAAAAACATTCAATAGTAACACTTCTACTACTAATACTAATACTAATACTAATACTAATACTAATACTAATACTAATACTAATACTAATACTAATACTAATACTAATACTAATACTAATACTAATACTAATACTAATACTAATACTAATACTAATACTAATACTAATACTAATACTAATACTAATACTAATACTAATACTAATACTAATACTAATACTAATACTAATACTAATACTAATACTAATACTAATACTAATACTAATACTAATACTAATACTAATACTAATACTAATACTAATACTAATACTAATACTAATACTAATACTAATACTAATACTAATACTAATACTAATACTAATACTAATACTAATACTAATACTAATACTAATACTAATACTAATACTAATACTAATACTAATACTAATACTAATACTAATACTAATACTAATACTAATACTAATACTAATACTAATACTAATACTAATACTAATACTAATACTAATACTAATACTAATACTAATACTAATACTAATACTAATACTAATACTAATACTAATACTAATACTAATACTAATACTAATACTAATACTAATACTAATACTAATACTAATACTAATACTAATACTAATACTAATACTAATACTAATACTAATACTAATACTAATACTAATACTAATACTAATACTAATACTAATACTAATACTAATACTAATACTAATACTAATACTAATACTAATACTAATACTAATACTAATACTAATACTAATACTAATACTAATACTAATACTAATACTAATACTAATACTAATACTAATACTAATACTAATACTAATACTAATACTAATACTAATACTAATACTAATACTAATACTAATACTAATACTAATACTAATACTAATTATAATACTAATACTAATACTAATACTAATACTAATACTAATACTAATACTAATACTAATACTAATACTAATACTAATACTAATACTAATACTAATACCGAAACTAATACTAATACTAATACTAATACTAATATAATAATACTTATTATAACAATGATAATAAAAGCAACAAGAAAAACATTCAATAGTAACACTTCTACTACTAAAAACAATCCCAATAGCGATAATCATCAGAACAGCATAATGGCCACTACCCTCAAAATCCTTGTAAATCCATAATTAATAATAATACTAACAAACATTCTTCCCGCCAATGCCATCATCAAAAAAAAAAAAAACGACTTTCCTCTCAAAGTGCCACGCTGACCAAAATGAGATCAATAGTAGACGAAGCCATCCTGTTCGGCCGTCTGCTTTCTTCAACCTCGTAACGGGCGGACGGAATTCTCAACATTTGTTTCATTCATCACAATAACTCTGTTGATTGCTGATTGGCTGAGACACTTAGTGACGTCATTGCCAAGGGCCATCGTATTGGTTGATCTTCAGGATCATTAATCGTGACGTCACAAGATGGCTTTTCCATGTGACGTCACACAGATCGTAAACCTTGTGTCTTTAAGATTAGTGACATCATGATGATGTCAGCACATGAGGGATGCAGCGAACAGCCGGTTAACTAGACGTCTACCGTTAATGATAACACCAACACTCAAGGCGGTCGCACGCTGGCCAAGCACTAGTGATTCTCTCTCTCTCTCTCTCTCTCTCTCTCTCTCTCTCTCTCTCTCTCTCTCTCTCTCTCTCTCTCTCTCTCTCTCTCTCTCTCTCTCTCTCTCTCTCTCCAAAAGCATATATCACGGAAAGCAAATTCCTCTGACACGCCCGTGAAGCCACGCCCCCTTTGCCTGTGACCTCGCATCCATTTTATTATTTTTTTGCGTTTTCTTCCTCTTTCTCACAAGGCACATAAATGATATAATGAATGCGTGCGCGTGCGAGACGCGAGTCGTGTGTGTGTGTGTGTGTGTGTGTGTGTGTGTGTGTGTGTGTGTGTGTGTGTGTGTGTGTGTGTGTGTGTGTGTGTGTGTGTGTGTGTGTGTGTGTGTGTGTGTGTTTGGGTGCGGAGGCGAGTCCGCGCGGTGATGATAGAACCACCGGCTTTGCATTACTGTTACCCCCTCCCCCCTTTCCCTTCCCTTCCCCTCTCCCCCCTCCCACCCCCGTCTCTCCTGACTCCCATGCTGTGGGTCTGGCTGCCCGATCAATAATTATATGACCTCAGTGATCTACTACATAGTTGAGCGGGCTTGGGTGCTAACTCGCTGTTTAATCATTATGCGTGGAAATATAGCATTCGCCTTGGAAATTCCCGCCGGATTTTGCCGCGACTATTTATGAAAATGAGTCCATTCCCATAAAGCATACTAATGGGAAATGCCGAGAGTTTCTGTCAAACAGTCTTCCTCTGCTAACTCATTACGACAGCGAGAGGAGAGAGAGAAAAAAAAGGGGGCTGCAATTCAGGGCGAAAACACGGCCACTAAACACCCAAGTCAGGCATTCGCGCTCGCCAGAACAGACTTCGTTGTGGCGGACGCGTTGCATTCAGGCGCGCGATCCATCTTGGCCGCCGCGTCCGCCCGTGCTTTCGACCGGGCCTCGTCGGGCGCCGCCGTCGGGGATGCAGGCGGCGCGCGAGGCGGTTCAGGGCAACAAAACGAACGAATAATAATGGAACGAGCGATGTTAATTTGATACTAGTAATGGTACCAATGATGCTACTTTGATAATGATATTGGTGATAAGTAATAACGATAATGATACAAATTGTAATTAAAACGGTAATAATTATATCACGAAGAACAAAATAATAAGTTATAATAACAATAACAATAATAATAATAATAAAATTACCATGACAATGATAATTATGACATAAAGAAAAACAAGAAAAGAAACTATCGTAACACATCACTTTGTAATTGAAATAAAACAATAAAACAAAATAAAAAAATAAAAAAATAAAATAAAAACTAACCTTCCAGGACGCGGCGTGGTTCTCATGGGTGTTGGGAACAGGACAGGGAAAGGGCGAGGGACAGGAGGGGAGGGGGGGGAGTGCCACAGCCTCATTCCCATATACTTAGCAACTGCCCCCCCCCCATACGAATAGATTTATTCGGAATTCAAAATCAAAAGTACTTTTTCCGTAGATAAATGCCGCCAAAAAGTAAAAAAAAAGAAAAAAAATCAACCTCCGCGTTTCGTCTATACTACTTTCTACTTTTCTTTAACGTCTACCCTTGACAAGAGTGGCAGTCCTTGGGCCCGCTTCTGCTGCCCCCTTGGAAGCTGGGCGCAGAATGGGGTAAGTGTGTGGGATTGGGGAGAGGAGGGGAGGGGAGGGAGGGGAGGGGAGGGGAGGGGAGGGGAGGGGAGGGGAGGGGAGGGGAGGGGAGGGGAGGGGTGGGTGGGAGGGGGAAGGAAGGAAGGAGGGGAGGGGAGTGGGGGAGCAAGGAGGCCAAACAGGTGAGTGTGTGTGTGTGTGTAGTGGCAGGTGGCAGGTGGTAGGCTGGTACGCTTAGGTTCAGAGTGTCACCTCAGCGTCAACCTTCGCGCTTGGCTATATTCCCCCCCCCCCCTCCTGCCTGCTCGATTATCACTTCTTGGTAATTAACTTTTTAAAATTACTTTTCATCCCATTCGGTGGAAATATGGAACCACCGTTGCTATTATCATATTCCATTAATCGTCGATATTCTGCAAAGTGGGTCACAGCAATGCAGTCACAATCCAAAATGTGACAGGAGCTCGCCTATCTGAAATCCTCTCTCTTCTTTTAAACCTGACTATAAACGAACAACGTGAATTGACAATTGTAAGCCTACGTCACCGTGTTACCAAGAGGAGGCGACCCAAGACTCATTTTAGACTCCTCCTCACCACTCCTGCTTCTCCCTGCGACGACGAGTGTCTCCGGCGAGGGCAGTTGGTGCCCCGCGACGGTCAAAACACCCACACGACAAAGCGTCAGCCGTCTCCCTCCTCCCCCATTCATCCAAGCATACCCACCAGGCTACCCACCAGCTACCCTGACCACACCCACACCCACGTGACCGCCAACCCACACGCCCACACCACCCATCAATCCTCGGCCACGCAATCATGCCCTCAAATAGCTTTATTGTTGACGTCCATTGCACAAGATCCACATGACTCCAGGACGAATCATGTTGGGAGTCGTATCGTCAGCAGGACAAGACGGATGTGAGGGTGGGGGAGAGGTGGGGGGGAGGGAGGGAGGGAGAGGAGAAGAAACGGATAAAGATGACGAAAAAAAACAATAAAAGGAAAAAAGAGACCATCGTAGAAGCGGAATAAATAGGAATTAAAAGCAAATGAAAAACACACCATACAATGGGAAGAAACGGATAAGTAGAGGAAGCGAGGGAAGAAAACTAGATAACAACAGTTTATGTCAATGACAAAAAAAAAAATTAGCACTTAGGGAAGAGGAGAAAAAGTCGAGTGATAAACAAGGAGAGAGAAAGACATGGCAAGGGAGGGGGACATCGCAGACGACGACAATAACAAACAATTACTGGCGCCTCCGCTTCAACTGCCTCGTGTGCTCGTATCCTCAAAGTTCTTTCACTTCCTTGTACTCACGGACTTCACAAAGAGCCACTTTCTCATCACCCACAACTTCCT